GGGGCAGGACTGAGAACCCCACAGGCAGGGAGCCCCCCCCGTGCCGCCAAGCTTGGCCCTGACCTCAGGGGGAATAAACCCCCCCAAATTCAGATATTTTTATATAAAAACCAAGACTGTTTATTGCTCCAAATAAGTTCCATGGTAACAGAGACCTGACCGACTCATCACACCAAGCTGCTGGAGAGCAGGGGCTTGTCCCCAGTGGTGCAGGACCTTCCAGCCCTGTTCCACCCTTGGGGACCCTGAAGGCCTTGAAGCAGGGGACAACCAGTGCACCCTCTCAGCCCTAGGGTGACATGGACACAGGGTGTGGAGTGACTGGGCAGTGGAGCACAGGGCTCCCACTGTAGTGTCATGATAGTCCCTGGGGTGGGGGGGTCATTTAAAACCCAACTGCACCCCAGGGAGCAGCACCGGGGGGGGCGGGGGCCCAGCCCCTTTTGCATGAGGTATGTAAATGGGGGGACTGCAGCCAGCACAGCTCCCAGGAGACCCCGTGCCCCTATGGGGGCTGTGACGGGGACACAGCTCAAGACCAAGGCTCAGTAGCACAACAGATTGAGACAGAGCCAGGAATGCAGGGGCAGGCCCCCCACGGGCTCAGCTCTCCCTGGGGTACTCTGACATCCCTGAAGCACCAGGCGCCATCAGGGCCCGCTCTGCGGCTGACAGCCATCCTGCAGGCCACCACGGCGGCAGGGGGGACACATTCCTGTCCCCCAGCACTAGAAGGGCTTGCTGGGCAGAGGGAAAGTGGGAGAGGCGGGGGCGGGGGGCACGCCCCAGCACCTGTCCCTGTGTCCTCATGTCCCTGTCCTCACCGAAGGCGCAGATGAGCTCAGCCTGGACGGCCCAGGAGACCCTCTTCACCAGGCAGAGGGTGGTGAGCCCCGCGAAGCCCATGTTGTAGAGGAAGACAATGTAGAAGTTCCCCAGCCAGTTGAAGCGGCCAAAGTCCCCCAGGAGGTCGAAACGGGTGATCCCTGTGCGGGGGGGTGGCTGGTCAGGGCACCTCAAACCTGGGGACATCCCAGTCCTGGGGTCACCCTGGCTCCCCCCGGGAACTCACCCAGAGTCCTGGAGAAGACGGGCAGGGCTGAGCTGAGCACCAGCAAGGAGACGCAGTTCCCAATGATCTGGAAGAGACGAAGGAGCCTTTGTTGTGGAGGGGAACAGCACTGCCCCAGGGCCTGGTGTCCTCCCCTGGGCTGGGAAAGGGGCTCCCCTGGTGCTAGAGACCCACCAGGACCCTGCTTGTGCCCGGGTCTCTGCCAGAGGCAGGGGGACACGTGGTGCCCTCACATGAGGACACCGCACAGTGCACAGATACACACACAACAGTGCACTGTGGGGCCCAGGAGTCCTGGAGTCCTGCACCCCGAGGGGGGCCCAGGAGCCCCCCAGCTCCAGCCCAGTGCTCCTACCTTGGTGAGGGGTGTATCCTGCCTCTCGGGGAGCAGCTGGGTGAAGAGAGGGGAGCTGTAGAAGCCAACGACGGAGGAGACCATCAGGTAGCTGCAAGGGGTGTTAAGGAGGAGAACAAGGTGGGACAGCCCTGGGAACAGCCCTGGGGACACGAGTGCCCGCCTGAAGGATACAAGATGAGGACGACCTGCAGGGCAGCTCCGAAGGAACCAAAGATGGAGAAGGAGACCCGGCCCAGGGATGCATCCTGCTGGGAGAGGAGGCGGCGTGTTGGGGAGGAGCAGCCCCTGGCCAGGGTTGGCTGTAACTCCTCACTGTCCTGCCTCCCCATCTGGGTACCTGGATGCCCCGTGGCATTGCGGCATCGTCCAGCAGCAGCTCCAGAATGTGGAAGCAGACGATGAGCACAGAGATGCCCTGGGAGGATCATGGAGGGAGTGAGGGTGGCTGGCGGCAGGACAGGGACGAGCCCCAGCTCCCCCAGGAGCCCAGGGACGCTCACCGTCAGTGCAAGGAGGCCCAGCATGGCCAGCGGGTAGCCCAGGTTCCTCTGCCAGGGTGACGCTTGGTGCCGCAGCTCTGCAGGGAGGGGGGGACATGCCTGGGTCAGAGGGAAACATGAGCCCCCATTCAAGGGCAGGACATTGAGGGGAGCCGTTAGGTGCCAGGAAAAGGGTTTACAGCCCCCACCACATTTCACACACCCCCTTCCTCCATGTGGCACAGGCTCCCAGTGCCAAGCTGGAGAGAACCCAGGTGTCCTGGGCTTCCCCCAACCCTAGCTTATTACCCAGCTTCTGCCTCTTGCTCCGAATGGCGAAGAACTGCTCCCGCAGCAGCTCCATGTTCAAGTTCAGCCAGCAGGAAGCTTTGCCTGCCAGGGAGAATATGCCAAGGGGCTCGTGGGGGCTGAAGGCTCCCATGTTGTGGGGCAGAGGGGCCCTCTATCTGCCCTGAGCTCCCCACTCCCAGCCAGTGGCCGTGCCAGACACCCACCAGAGGAGATCTGACGGGACATGGCGGCTTCCTCGAGCCTTGTGCAGCTCAACTGCTCCTCCAGGTCTTCCAGGAGCTGGGGATGGGTAAGGAACCCATGAGAAGCTGGTGGGGGGGTATGAACGGCACCCCGTGCCCAGGATGGGAGACTAGGCAGCCCCAGGGACAGCAAGCCCCCAGACTGGGGCAGCAGGACCAGGGGGAACATCTTACCCGGGGTTTCACCAGCAGCTTCCCTGTGACGGTGAACATAGTGGAAAGGCCGAAGGGGGTACACACTGAAATGGGAGGAGAGGCTAAGCAGGGGGTGTCCCAACATCCTACCCAACCCCGCACCCCCAGAAGGGTCCAGGATAGGGACTGGAGGCTCAGCCCTGCACCATGTCCCTTCCGGACCCTGGCACAATTTGCAGGAAGCAGACCCTACTCTCAGCTGGGCACCCCTGGGGACCCACACCCAACGCAGGATGGGCCGCCAGTGCCAGGGCACCTCAGGGGAACATCCCACGACTCACACAGCAGAAGCAGCACGCCGAAGAGGGAGATGCAGGAGTAGAGGTAGGGCAGGTAGTATTCCCAGAGGTCTGCAGAGACAGTGGGGTCAGGCCAGCAGCACTGGGCATCCCTTCCCCGCTTCAGCACCAGGGCCTGATCCTGCCCTGCCAGAGCCGAGAGAGCCCCAGCGCACCCTGGCAATACCCACCATAGAGTGACTGACGGCTGGCTGCATCGTTGCCGATGATAGCAGAGGCCACCCAGACCATGCCCAGCACCAGCAGCGTCAGCAGCAGCAGTACCACTGATGTCTCGTACACCCTGGCCATGATACCCTGCGGGAGTAGGGTTAGCAGGGAGCCAGAGACAGGGGGGATGAGGTGGGGACACCTGCAAGGCCACCTACCTTCTTGGATCCTGCAAAGCCCTCTGACTCAGTGAAGAAGTAGGCGAAGGGCATGAGGAAGACGAGGGACATATTGGAGAAGAGGAAGACCAAGTTCCAGAGGCCTGGAGGAGGGGACAGTGTGGGGTGAGCTCCAAGGCGTGGGGGCGTGGGGGGGTGGCAAATTCCAACCCAGAGCCCTCAGGGCACCCCAGGGCTGCCCTGTGCACCCACCATGGACGAGAGACCCATTCAGCCACTGGATGTAGTAGTTCTGGGGGAAGGAGAGCAGCACCTCATTGCTGCTGATGGAGAAGGGCAGCAGGAGGACGGCACCCAGTGCCACCGCCAGGGTGAAGGTGCACAGCCCCAGCCTTAGGAAGGGATGAGTGTCAGCTGTGGGTCTGGGCCCCCATGGGTGTCACAGCCTGGCTGCAGCCTCCAGGGTCACCAGGCCCCACAGGCTGGTGGGACCCAGCATCCCAGCCAGGCAGGGAGAGGAAGCAGCTGAGCATCCTGCAGGCAGGGAGCAGGACAGGCAGGAACTTACGCAATCCTGTTGACAGCAGCATCCTCGTCGTCATGCACTGGGCGGTGGGGGGAGAAAAATGCAAAACAACAGGGCTGGGGGAGGCAGGGCTGCCCAGAGCATTGCTCTCTGCCTGCTCCCAAACCTCCCCCTGCTCCAAATGCTGCAGAAACACTCCTGGGGATTTGGGCTCTGCTCCCCTCCGGTGGCAGCCAGGGGGGTACCCTGCAGTGACAGATGCCACAGCAACTCGGGCTACAGCAGGACTGGGGCTTCTGGGGAGGATGAATGTGGCTGCCAACAGCTGCACGGCTCAGGCAGCTCCTGCCTTCCTACCTGCTGTGAAGTCCGTGTGCTTCTTGAAATGGGTTATGATGAAATGGCAGAGGATGTAGAGGCTGGTGAAGAGCAGGGCGCAAATCTGCAGGCAGAGGAGCATGGGCAGTGCAGGCAGGCTCAGAGGGCAGTGCTCCCACCCTGGGTGATGTTGCCAGCCCTGGGGCCCATCAGCTCCACCCTATTTGTTTTTCCACTCCTGGCCCTGGTTACACCCCACATGTGTGCTTGGGCCTGCCCATGCACAGGGGCTGCACTCTGGGCTCATCCATGGGTACCTGCAAGCTGCCACAGCACCTGGGCCAGAGGGGCTCACACCATGAGGAGAGCCCAACCGGCAGCTCTGTGTCAGCCTGTGCTGGCAGAGCTGGAGGTCTGGCCCCATGGGAACACCCTTGCACCACCCAACCCACAGCCCTTGCCCCACTGGCACTGGCACTGGACAGAGCCATGGGAACAGCCTTGAGCTGGGTGCCAAGGCCAGCTGTGGCATCCCTCCTGCCCCCACCGGCATACTGACGTCTGTCCGGAGCAGGCGATGTTTGAGGAACATGATGACCTTTCATCCCGCCGGGTACGCGGCAGGATGGGGAAAGGTCACCCAAACCTGCCACCTTGGCACAGGTGGAGTATAGCAGTCGCAGCACCTCCTTCCTGCCCGCCCCAGGGGACTTGGCTGGCCGGGGGTCCCCAGGATCTGCTAGGTGGGGTGGTAGGGAGCCCCAGGAACCAGCCCAGCTCCAGACTCTCCAGTGGGGCAGAGGCCAACAGGTCCTCCTGCTTCCACCCAGAGAAGGGTCTCAGAATGCAGATCCCCTCCTGCTGTACCGCACAGCCCAAAGCTCTGGCTGGCTGGGGGACCCCCAACACCTCCCACACTCTGTGACGTCAGGCTGAGCGAGCTCCATGCTGGCTGTGCTGAGCCAGGAGCTCCACGGTGAGATGCAGCTCCTCAGGATGGGTCTGGGCAGGGGTCTGGGGAGCTCCAGGGTAGAGATGCCAGGCTCCAGCCACCAGCTTCTCCCCGCAGGCATCGAGTTGGGCTGTAGCAAGATGGCCCCAGCACCTCTGGTCACAGTCCACTTGGTCACCCTGCCCACAGCATCCCTTGGGAGATGTCAGGACCAGGACACCCAGGTCGCTCCCAATCCTGAGCCTGTGGCAGCAGGTGCCCTGGCTGGGACCGGAGGAGCAAATCCTGCTGCCTCCTTCTGTGGTGCCCATGGTTTGGGGGGGCTCTGCAGGCCCCCTTCCCACTGACACCGAGCGTCCTGGTGAGAGCTGCTGGCATAGGGACAGGGATGAAGCCAGGAGCCTGGCGCAGCTCTGGCACCGCCGCACCCAGGGGCTCCCCCTCCGCGCCGAGCGCGGCCGCG